AAACCATATTCCGAGACCAAGCTATCCCCAACTTAATTCATTAGTAGCAAACAACAGTATTACATACGCATAGTATCCATCTAGAAGCCATAATCATGAAACAATCATGGATACCCAAACAAACAACCCGAAACCGAAACCGACACAGCGTCGGCCGGTCAAACCGCGAGCTGGCCGGTCTGGTCGCTCGATCACCGCCGGTCTGACCGGCAACCCGTGCCCGGTCTGACCGGACCCAATCAGCAGTACCTGTAGATCACCTGTGAAATCCAATCATCTCCAAAACCACTTCACAAATAAATTCCAAATATCAAAACCAATAATCTCCAATGCATATTGTTCATCACAGAATATAATTAAAAACATATTTGATTTTACATAGTCAAGGAGGTGTGTGACCTCGTGTCAAGTAACAGGGAGATCAAAGTCATGAAAGTTCATCGATGGCCGAGTTTAGTTCCAAAATTTTTCTTCAAACTTTCAACTTTTCCATCACATCAAAATTTTCCTACACATACAAACTTCCAACTTTTCCGTCACATCGTTTCAATTTCAACCAAACTTCTAATTTATATCAAAATAGCGTTAGTCATTTTCTTCCAAACAAGGGCAGATGTAAGGCCTTAACCTTTCTGGCCTGATAACAGCTGCAATCTCATTTCACATCTTCTTGATGTGGACTCTCCTTATGAATAGGCAAAATTTGCTACAGAACACTGAAAGATTGTGGTCTTTGCTGTGAGACACCCAAAATCATGTATTTGCTCGTGGATACTGAAAAAAGTGGTAATTAGCTGTTGGACACTCATCCTATTATTTTATTATTTTCGGTCAAAATGGAGAGAGAAAGAGCTGTGTAAGTACCAAAATACCCTTGGACACGTACTGTTCTTCCTCTCTCTCTTCTTTTCTTTTCCCCATTCTTCCTCGCGACGGCGGCCGGCCTGAGCCGGGATGGCTCGGCCACGGCGGGGCGGTGGCGGCGGCGGTGGCGGCGCATCGCGGGGGCCGCTGACGGCAATGACGCACGGCGGCATTCCAGAGCACGGATGAGGTCGGCAAAGTTTGGTCGGCAAAGCTTCCTCGCCTCCATGGCGCCGCCGTAGCACAGCCCCACCCGCTCCAGCCCGGCTGCCTTCATCCGCGCTGACCACTGTCACGCCCACTCATGCCGCTCCACCCGCTCCGCCCCCTCGCATGCCACCACGCTGCGGATCTCCATCCCGAGCAGCACGCGCTCCGCCGGCGCCGTCGTGCTCCGTCGTGCTCCGCTGCAGGCCGTCGAACAACGTCGCGTAGTAGTTGAGCGTCGACGTCGATGCCGGGTGTGCGGCCGTTACTGCTGCTAGGGAGTGAAGTGGCGATGACGACAGCACGGACGTGTCGGGGCTCAATTGCAGCCGTGTGTTCAGCTCTCGCGTGAGCAGCTCGCCGAAGCTTCTCAGGCTAGAGCACGTGATGATCTAGAGCACGTGATGATCTGCTCCCATCGTCGACGGCGAGGAGGCGGTGCAGCAGGAGCACGATGCTCGGTTTGGTCGACACTAAACCCGGGGTTCACCGCCGACGGTGACGACGCACGATGGCTCGGCCATGGCGGAGCTCAGCGGCGGCGCAATGAGAAAGAGATGGACAGACAAAGAAAGGAAGAAGAAAAACAGAGAGAAAGATTGACAAGTGAACCCATGGGCAAACTTGTCTTTAACCATAGTTTATTTCTCTATTTTGACCGGAAATAATAAAATAATGGGAGAAGTGTCCAGCAGCTAATTACCACTTTTTTCAGTATCCATGAGCAAATACACGATTTTCAAGTGTCTCACGGCAAATGCCACAATCTTTCGGTATCCTATAGCAAATTTTGCCTTATGAATAATATATTTTCCTGTTTTTCCCGCAAAGAAAAATAGTTATTAGGTATTCTTGAAAACTAGAAGAAGTCTATGCCCTAGTTTCTTATGATTAAAAATTGAGATAATCCAAGAAATACCATTGACAAGCGTCCAAGTCCCAGAAATGCCATCGACAAGTGTGGGTTCCAAGAAATACCATCGCACAAACAATTTTGTTCAAAAAATACCATCGCCGTTAGGGTTCCGTCCATTTTACGCCGTTAAATACACTGTTCATCTTATAGAACTTAACGGCATAAAATGGACGGAACCTTAACAGCGATGGCATTTTTGAAACAAAGTCATTTGTACAATAGCATTTCTTGGAACTCATACTTGTCGATGGCATTTCTGGAATTTGAACGCTTGTCAATGGCATTTCTTGGATTATCTCTTAAAAATTATAACAATATAAAGCCGTCATTTTTTTTTCGCCATAGCCGAGTACTCCATAAAAGATCAAACACTGAACCAGGATATTTCGCGGAAACCATTTGATAGTAGGTCCACAATCCACAGTCCACACAAACTAGTCTTCGAGTTTCATTATTCCTTTCCGAATACGATGAACTCTAGTGCACCTATTTTTGCAAACCAACCACAAATTCTAGCCGTTCAGGTGTGTCTCGACATTTTTTTTCTTTTTCGAGGAGCTTTGACCTATTTAAGTGCAAAATAATGTCCAAAGTTTCCATACATCTTTTTATCCTACAAAAGTTAATGCATTGATGAATAAATCAACTAGTATATAGTTGTAAAGTTGTTTTAAAATGTATTTGAAGAAAAAAAATATTTTTTTCGAAATGCGCTGTTTATTAGCTTGAAAAGTGTGGAAATAAAGATCCAGAATCCAGAATAAAAAAAACAAGCGCAATAGAACCTGTGGTAGAGTAGCAGCGAAAGACAGATGATGTTTTAGGCTGTGTTTAGATCCAAAGTTTGGATCCAAATTTTGGATCCAAACTTCAGTCCTTTCCCATCACATCAACCTGTCATACACACACAACTTTTCAGTCACATCATCTCCAATTTCAACCAAAATCCAAACTTTGCGCTGAACTAAACACAACCTTAATGGAGTATCTCGTACTCCCTCCGTCCCACAATATAAGGGATTTTGAGTTTTTGTTTGCAACGTTTGACCACTCATCTTATTCAAATTTTTTTTGCAAATATAAAAAATAAAAAGTTGTGCTTAAAGTACTGTAGATAATAAAGTAAGTCACAAATAAAATAAATAATAATTTCAAAAAAATTTGAATAAAACGAGTGGTCAAACGTTGCAAGAAAAACTCAAAATCTCTTATATTATGGGATGGGACGAAGGGAGTAGCAGAATCTATAGAGATGTGGCCTTCTTAATCATCCTGCATTTGTATCCGAATAAATTCTGTGCCATGTGATTTATGATACGACACGAACAATATGATGCTTTCTTTATAAATATCATATATTGTTTGTGTTTATATGCCATATCCATAGTTATATACTCCCTCCGTCTCATAATAGGTGACGTTTTTGATTTTTTTTATTTACAACGTTTGACCATTCGTTTTATTTGAAAAACTAGTGCAAATATAAAAAAAATAAGTCATATGTAAAGTACTTTTGACAATAAAGCAAATGACAAACAAAATAAATAATAATTCTAAAATTTTTTGAATAAGACGAATGATTAAATATTGACAAATAAAAACTCAAAAAGACAAGTAATATGGGACGGAGATAGTATATGTGAAGTTGCTTTAATCATTTTTTTTGATAAAATTTGTTATAGGACCCTGCAACATTATAGTTTTAGCCCATCGACACAAAAGAAAAATAATCAATTTTTTGGAGGAAGGCACTGCGTGGGTGACGCCAGCTCTGGACAACGCCTTGTTACCGTGCACCATGGCTGGACAACCTCTGCCATGGCCAAGTCGGCCAAGCCTCGAGCTAGCACCTCTGCCTTCCGAGAAAATTGATATTATGCCATTTTTAGGGTGGGGTTTCGCTGAAATGCTACTTTCGAATGTGGTTTCGTTAAAATGCCATTTTTAAACGAAGCCAACTTGCCGGAATGCCATTTTGTCCATTTTATATGATTTGGAAATGTTTTGACACATACACCGACCTTTTTGCCTTGGCCTATCCACCCACATGTGTGAGAAAGAGGGTCGTTGGCGATGGAGATGGCGAATGATGGCAGGAAGGGGAGAAGAGCAAAGCGAAACGAGGAAGGGGAAGAGCAGAGGTGCTGGAGACGTCGTGTTCGGGAGATGCTCGCACGGGCGTGACCGGTGCGACGGGGGCGGAGGTCCACGACAGCGAGACGACTAAGAAGAAGCTCGGGTAGAAGGCACATATGCCCGCACGGGCGTGACTGGTGCGATGGGGGCGGAGGTCCATGACAGCGACGTCACTAAGGAGGAGCTCGGGTAGAAGGCACATATGCTCGTGCGGCTGTGATTGGTGCGACCGTGGTTGCTCCTAGAGGTGGGTTCAGCGTCGGAGAATGCATTGATGGCGTGGGGTGGACCTCCTGGGTGAGTGCGGGCGCAGGGAGTGGCGCCCCTAGAGCGAATTGAGGAAGGGGGCATGGTGTTGGCGTTAGAATGCAGGCTTGGGGAGGAGCAACGGAGAAGAAATGGCGATGGTGGCTTGCCACTGACGAACAGAAAAGCAATTGAAGAGATGGAATCTATAGGGGTATTTTGGTCAAATCACCGACAAAAACAAGGAAAAAAAATCATCTATTGATAAGAAATGGATGAAATGGCATTCCGACAAGTTAGCTTCGTTTGAAAAATGGTATTTTGATGAAGCCACATTTGAGAGTGGCATTCCAGCGAAACCTCGTTATGAATATGACAATATCAATTTTCTCATCATTCCCTCACCTCGAATATGGAACATTGGGATATGTAAACCGCCTGGTGAGTGGTGACTAATGACTTCTCGGAGTCTATCGTTCAAATAAAAGGATGTGTTTGTTGAAAAAAAATATTATAATAACATGGATTTTACTTTTCTTTTCGTTTTAATAAGCACTATCCAACTTGGACTTCTCCGGCTTCGGAGTTGAGAGCCGTTGGGTTTTTGGTTCTTGGGCCCTACCCTATCCAGCCTATTACCACCTGCCGAGGGAATGCGATGCACATTCCCTTTGCTCGAGGTCGAATACTCGGAATCCACGACACGAGACGAGACGAAAGCTTTTGCCGCAATGGCGTCTAAACCAAGCAGCCGAGCGGAAAGCAACCAGGCGGCGGCGGCGGTGCCGTCGCTGTACGGGCGCGCCCTGCCGTCGCCGCCGGCGGTGGAGTTCGCGTCGGCGGAGGGGCGGCGGCTGTTCGCGGAGGCGCTCCAGGGGGGCACCATGCAGGGGTTCTTCAGCCTCGTCTCCGTCTTCCAGACGCAGTCGGAGCCGGCCTTCTGCGGCCTCGCCACGCTCGCCGTCGTCCTCAACGCGCTCCGCATCGACCCGGGGCGGCGGTGGAAGGGCCCCTGGCGGTGGTTCGACGAGTCCATGCTCGACTGCTGCGAGCACCTCGACACGGTCAGGGCGGAGGGGATCACCTTCGGCAAGGTCGCCTGCCTCGCCCACTGCTCCGGCGCCGACGTCCGCACCTTCCGCGCCGCCCAGGCCACGCTCGCCGACCTCCGCCGCCACCTCCTGCGCTGCGCCTCCTCCCAGGATTGCCATCTCGTCGCCTCCTACCACCGGAAGCTTCTCGGCCAGGTTGCTGCCTGCTCGTCCGCACCTCTCTCGGAACTCGAATTCGACGATTTCTGTTTGCTGTTCGTTCTGAACGAATGATGTTTGTTTGGATTCGATGCAGACTGGAACAGGGCATTTCTCGCCGATTGGCGGCTACCATGCTGGGCAGGACATGGCGCTGATCCTGGATGTCGCTCGCTTCAAATACCCTCCTCATTGGATTCCGCTGCCGCTTCTTTGGGAAGCCATGAACACGATTGATGAAGCAACTGGGCTTCTCAGGGGGTATATATTCTCTAGTATATCTTCCTGTCTCTTGTGGACATTAAGGCCCCCCTTGATCTGAACGAAAAACATTAGAACTTTGTAGAATTTCAAATCCTGTAGGAATTAAAAAGACGCGAATATTAGGCAATGAACTAATATCAAATAATTAGAAGGGGTGAGGCTTCGAACCCAGGTCGTCTAGCCCACCACCTTGTGGAGCTAGTCGGAAGACCCTTGGGTGTTTCTCAAATCCTGTAGGAATTTTCCCTAAATAGTCCTTTGAAATAAAGGATCCGACACTATAGAATCCTATGGAATTCCTCAATCCATTCCTATCAAAATCCTTCATTTTTGTTAAAACTCGTTCCTATCGAAATCCTGTGTTTTTAAAATCCTACGTTTCAAAGGGCCCTAATGTGTTTTAGAGGTTCTTGTATGCAGCGTTGGGATTAGTGTCTTGTAACAATGCAGCTCTTGGATTAAGCGACTGTATTAATTTGGGTTATCTAGTGTTCATCGACTGTCAGGAATCAGGAATCAGGAAACACTGCTCTGCAATTATCAGTTTATTACTGTTAATGAAGAAAATTTGGACAATGCTGTAGGGTGTATGCTCAGTCCGTTTAGCGTTAATGAAGAAAATTTGGACAATGCTGTAGGGTGTATGCTCAGTCCGTCTAGCACTTAAACGTGGTCATTGGGGCTCTTGAGAAGTTGAGATATGCAATATGTTGGCCTTAATATCACGCTACCTACGTGTTTTGTCCTGAAACTATGCAATGATGTGTCAGTTTAGACTAAATGGGCAAATTAGTTTGTAGTTGGCGAGTTTAACATGTCGGCATCTTCATATTTGGTAGGTTCATGCTTATCTCAAGGAATACTGAAGCTCCTTTATTGATCCGTGCAGTGGTAAATTAACATGCCAATGCTTGGTGAATCAAATATGTAAGTGTCAAGTGTCACCCTTGATCTATTTTTTTCTCATTCCTTTCAATGCTATGCAGAATTGCAGGGATGAAAGCTGGCAAAGCATGGCAAAGTATTGCATAGAAGTTGTCCCAAATCTTTTGAGGGATAACAGCGTAGACAATGTCCTAACAATTCTTTCCCGTTTAGTGAATCATCTTCCTCCCAATGCTGGAAATTTTATCAAATGGGTCATTGAAGTTAGGAGACAAGAGGAAGGAGGATCCAGCCCAAGTAAAGAGGCTAACGAAATGCCTTTCCTGAAGGTCATTTTAATTTTCCATTTCTGTTGTTGGGTCAGTTTTGTTTCCTCTGTTCAACCAGTTAATGTTGTATGTTCGCTTGCAGGAAAAGGTCCTACAGCAAATCCGTGATACTAAGCTTTTTCAGCTGGTCCACAAACTGCAATGTTCTAAGCAGCCCTGTTGTAGTTGCTCGTCTTTAACGGACGAAGATTCCATTTCCCAGATTGCAGCCAGTGTGTGCTGTGAAGCAACCGCATTGCTAAGTGGGAATCTGTCATCAAGAGATGGATTATTTTTCAGTGAAACTTGTTCCGGATGTACACAAGTGAATGATGAGGGGCTTAAAAATGTCATTACAGGCAAAGTGGTATCTGAAGGCAATGGACATGTTGATAAGCTTTCACCGATATCCTCGACTGAAACATGCTTCTGCAATTCAACTCTGAGCAATGAAACTGTCAATTATCCATCAAACACAGACATTCTAACTGTTCTATTACTGTCGTTACATCCTAGCACATGGTTGTGCATTGAAGATGAGAAGTTGAAAGCTGAATTTCAGAGCCTTGTTTCTACGGACGATCTTCCTGATCCTCTTAAACTGGAGGTGTGCTGTCTCACTCCTAGAACCTTGCATTGATTGTTTACCTTTGCTCTCTACCAAAGTACCAATATGTTTTTTCCACGGAAAACAAATTAAGTTGCTAGCTTATTAAATCAATTAATAAGCACTTATTTAGTCTTAATTAATTTTTGTGTGGTACTGTGATTTTTCTTATTAAACAAGTAGGTGATTTTCAAATTTGGGATGAGCAAATAGTGAAATGGAGGATGACTTGTTGAAAGGTGGTGTAATAGTATAGACTGTGAGGCTCAGATATTAGTGGTAGGGGTGATGCGGGAATGGACACCACCACTACTAACATTTGAAGTAGTATAGATAAACAAGGGTCTCTAGTAATCATATAACGCTTTTCTACATAGTCATCTTCTAAATCAATGTTTACACATAAACCCAACATCCCGCATAGTGACCCAATATTTTATTTCACAGCTCTGAGTTTTACTTTCACATAAAAGAACCGTAAGATCCATTACTTCAGTTAATTCAAGGAAACACCTATCTACATATCTTTTTCCCGTTCTATCAAGCTTTCATTCTTAGTAGGGGGCTTCCAAGCATATCTCATGATTAAAAAAAAACACTACCTTCTATTCTAAGTAGAGCTACTATTTATATTGACAGATATTGCACCTAAGGAGGCAGCTCCGTTATCTGAAGGCTTGTAGAGAAAAGGAGGCATATGAAGATACTTGGCCACAACCTTGGGAACAATGCTAACATGGCAACCCACTCACTTAATAATGAATTTCGCTGTTCACTGGGCCTTTGGTTGCTGGCTTAACCTTACTGGAAATTGACGCGAAAAGAAAAGGTTAGGATGTTAGGAGAGGAGGTGAAAATATTACCTCCTTTTCAAATAAGGACTATATAAACAATTTTCTGATAATAATGATGTTTTGGCAATTGGCAAGTACTTTGCAACCGTGAAGTATCTTTCCTTGCTTAATTTCTCTTTTGTTTTTCCCTTGTACTTCTGATAGTTCCATGTACTTTATTCCCTCTAATTAATGGATAAGCACACTTAGCTCGTCCTAAAAAGATAAGAAAAAACATGTGATTCGTTACTTCTTCCAGCCATAATTTTTTTTAACGTTTAGAATGGGATTTAGTAAAAAAAATTAAAATTTTGGCTATTAGTTTATATTGAATTAAGTTTATAAAATCTTTTTTGAAAATATGTTATTATGATAGTACTTTGAAGTCAAAATCGAATCCCATTTTTTGTTAAGCATTTGAAAAGTTAATGGTGGTTAAAATTTTAAAAGTTTAGCTAAAGCTTATCCTAAACATCAAATATTTACGAGTGGAATGAGTGTTTTATAGTAATTGTTATGAAGTACTTTAGGATAAACAAACCATTTATACGATTATACTTGTATATGTCTCCTTATTACTCCATCCGTCCCATAATATAGCAACCTAGTACCGGACGTGACATTTCATAATACATTTCATAGTACAGGAAGCATGTCTGGATTCGTTGTACTATGAAGTGTCCCGTCCTAGATTGCTATATTATGGGACGGAGGGAGTACCATTTAAAGCACAACTAATTGCATAGGTAATCATTTCATGATTCAGAATTTCGGATTGTTGGTTAGTTTTTGGTTATTAATAGGATAAGTCACTAACTCACTATATTGGAAGAGGGAACACCTTTGTAGGCTGAGTAGAGATGGAAATTTCCTATGAATAAGTTTAGTTCAGGTCCCTTAACTTGATGCGGAGTTTGAAATTCGCCCCTAGACTACGATACCAGGTATAGCCGTCCCCGAACTTGCAAAAGTAGATCAACTTTTATCCCAAGGCAGTATGGCTCCCGATTTTGTCCAATGTGGTGCTTAACTTTGGTCATATGTGTTGAGTTAGTATGGGACCCACGTGGGCCCCGCATGTTAGCACCAACTCTTTCCTCTTCCCCCATCTCCCCTCTCTTCCTCATCCTCATGAAGGCAGGCCGCGTGTGGTGTCCTGCATTCGGCTGGCGGCAAGGAGAAGGGTGGCCGGCCTCCAAGTCTCGCGTCTTCGGTGGCACCGGCCGCTTCCCCCCAGAAGTAGGGGGTCAACGAGGTTGCTGACTCCGTGACGAACGTGCTTGCATGGTAGACCACCACCACCAGTCGCTGCTGTGCTTCCCCACCATGAGGTTGGCGAGGTTAGGCAAGCAGAGGAGGACAACAAGGCCAGACGCAATGTCGGTGGCCAGGTCTATTGACGTCGGCACTGTGTCCGTGTCAATGAACAGCAGGACATGGACACTCTTGTAGAGGGTCAGGAAGGGGAAGAAGAAAAAGTCGGCGTTTTCTCCATCCTCAGCGCTGGCTAAGGCGGACGGAGCTAGAGGAGGAGTGCGCGGCGTGAACAATACTCCTGTCATGTTGAGCAGGAGCAGCAGCGGAAACGAGATGGTCACCGCCATGAGCAAAGCTAGCATGTACAGTGGTGCCAATGCAGCTCCTGGATGGCCTCTGGCGGCCGCTCCTCCGCCTTTGACGTCGATGCAACTCCTTGATGGCCTTCGACCCGCCTGCTGTTAGGTCAACTGGTGAGTGGGATCAGGAGGACTGGAGGAGGAAGGGTGAGAGTGCAGGTCGAGGGTGGGCTCAGCGCTGGCAGAGAGGTCGTACAACAACGTCGAGAGGAACGACATGGCCGGCAAAATGGGGAGTGGTTGGGCTGGCATACAAAGAGAGGGAGAAGGGGAGAATGTGTCACTAATATGTGGGGTCCACCTTTTTTGTTTTTTTTTATATTAGATTGAAGTGCCTTGACATGTGGATCTCACGCTGACTCAGCCACCACGTTAGTCGGAACCGAGCACTATACTGCCTTGGAATCTCATGTACACTGGTTTAGCAAATTGAGGTTCAGGGATGAATTTCAAAGTTGACGTCAACATGAGGAACCTAAAATGAACTAATTACATTTCCTAAAGCTTCTATGGATGGGCCATAATTTGACAAAAAGTTCTTCAGGCCATAGATGTGGATCTTGAGGCCCATCTAAACTAGGCCCAAGAGGGAGGATCCCATACAGCCCATAATAAGGCCCAACCTAAGGCCCATTCGTTGCAACTGGGCTCCTCGCCAGAGACAAGTGCTGCTCCGCTGCAACCTCCCCAAACATATCATTGTCTAGGAAATTAAGAGTAACAGATAGAGCCCCAACTCTTAAATTTAGCTTCAGGAGTTGGATCTGTAGTGGAGTTATAGAGCTGCCTAAACCCAGCTCCACCTCTCTAGTTCATTTTGTGAGAGAGCACCACCCAGCTCCGCTCCCTTTTAGGTAGAGTTGAAACTGTTTGGCTGAACTCTAGCTGTGCTAAATAAGCTTCAGGAGTTGGGTCTGGAGTGGAGTTATAGAGTTGCCTAAACCCAGCTCCACCTCTCTAGTTCATTTTGTGAGAGAGCACCACCCAACTTCGCTCCCTTTTAGATAGAGCTGAAACTGTTTGGCTGAACTCTAGCTGTGCTAAATAGGCCCAAAAGGCTCGCCCTCCTACCGGCCAAGTTATAGAGCTAAGGTTGCCGGCGGCAAGTTTCAAACAGAGCCTTTGCTCAGCTAGCATGCGTTCTTCCCGAAACGTTTTAGGCTGTGTTCAGATTGTGAGGTTTGGAACTAATCTGTCGTGCACGTAAAACGAAGTAAATAGTTAGCGCACGCTTCATTAAGTGTTAGATACTTTTTAAAAAATGAATTAATATAATTTTTAAAACAACTTTCGTAACTGTTTAGCTGTTTAAAAAGGGTGCGTGCAAAAGACGATGAAGATGAGTTGGGAAAGATTGCTGCCGAACACAGCCAAAAGTACAGTGTAGCACAATAATTAATTTTGTTTTTTTATAACATCACGGTGCAAGATTGAGATGGCAAACTACAAAAGAAAGCCCTGCTTTATTTATGACACAATATGATGAAAATGCCAAAATACAAAGAAAAAAGTTACATAGCACACAAGGTTCTACAGACGGCATCCAAACCTAGTAATTATACAATTTTCTTTTTGCTTTTTTCTTTGGCCTTCTTTTATTTCTTTTCTGGTTTTATTCTATCTGGTACAATAGATACTAAATTCACTCTCCAGCACAGATCAGAGCTATGGAATGATATGAAAATCACTCCACCACACAGTTCACTCCTGGGGTTGATCATTGCCAAAGAAATCCTGGTCCATCAGGTCCATGAGCATCTGCTCCATTTCCTGGTCGGTGAAGGTGTAGGCGCTGGTGTCCTCTTCCTCAAGGCGGCCATGGCCATCAGCAGCAGCAGCAGCAGCAGCAGTGCCATTGAGAGAGGAATTCCCAATTGTTGCCGCCGGTGGCTCAAGGTTAGGGATCGGCGGCAGCATCGATGGTGTTCCCTCCTGGTGCTCTTGGATGGTGAAGAGCATGTCGCCGGCGCCGGCGAACACGCCGCCGTCGTTCGTCGCACCCACCGGCAGCGGCGGGTAGTTGCCGGGCGGTGCCGCCGGCGGCGGCAGCGGCGGCGAGCACTGTAACCGTGAGACGACGTTTGATGGTGGTGCGGTGTTGTCCGGCTCTGGGGACTTGTTGAAGATCTTGCATAGCACCCACTCGTCTAGCTGCATATATACGCATATAGATCCATGATAACATGGTTAATCTATTGGTAAGATCAGTAAAAAAGGGGGAGATATTAAGCCTTGCATATATGATGAACTAACGATTGAGATCGACTAGGAATGGAATATGTACTCTGTTTTTTCTTTTGCAAGGAGGAGTGTAGTTAGTTTTTTCTACAAGTTACAGAAGTCGAATTTTGTCATGTATTACCTTGTCAAAGAATTTCATAACTAAACAGACGACACACTAAAAACGAAGGACCATTCTCTCAAGAAAAAAAATAATTTCTCAATATAGTTTGTGTTGTTTGTACCTTCACAGAAGGGTGTGCGGTGGATGAAGACAAGGATGGGTGGGAGGCAGTGGACCCTCCCGTGTTTGTGAGACGGTACTCATGCATGATCCATGTAGTCTTGGTTTCCATGGGCGGGCGGCCAACATAGAATACAAGTGCCTTCTTCATAGCTACAGGAGTGCTTTGCATGTTAGCAACTTGGACGGGCTTGTCAGTGCCGGTGGCCTTCCAAAAGCCTGACGCCGCTGAGCGACTAGGGCGCACACTATTGGGGTACCTGTGGTCGCGTAGTGTAAAAAAGTACCACTCATGTTCCCCAAATAGAGCCATGGCTGCAACACCAATATCATTAACACATTGTGTATAGTAGTTGGTAAGTTCATCCATTCTATAATCAAGCATAAATATTAATGCACACTAGACTACACATATGGCTTACATGGAAGCTCCCACGGGTTGAAGTTGTATATTTCGACATCTGCGATTATGGGGATGGGGCACGATAGCCCGGTAGCACGCCTCTGGAGGTAGTTGATGACTAGTTCCTCATCGGTTGGATGGAAACGAAAACCCGTTGGCAAGACAGGCAAGGACAGCTGCATTGCCATGGATGAAATGAGGGCGCAATGCTAGCTATACTTGAAGATCCTAGTTTCTCTTGTGGAGGATAGTGTGCAAAGATTGTTGGTCCTTTTATAGCAACTTCTCGGTGGGGTTGGTGAAAAAGGAAGTGCACGTGCGACATCGAGTTGGGCCCCACCTGACTCATCTTTGCCTGGACCCCACATACCGGCGGAGTATCGACAAGAGGACTGACTCATTATCTCATCAATTTCTCTCTTTTTGGTGTGCGTCTTAGTTGTACAAGTGGTATGTAACAGATAGAGGTGATATGTAAAGTTTTGCATCATTGCATTTGATGCTTTGTTTTAGATATTGTTTGGTATACTTGGTGGTCATGCCATGTCTTATTGGATTATTTGAGGAAGTCGTGAAAAAAAGTTCAAACCGTATTCTCTACCACGTGTAGGGGCAAGTAGGAAAAGAAGTGCAAAGCGGCACAGATAATGTCCTAGCACCGCGCAGCACCAGCTGCATCTGCCATATGTTGACAAGGCGACTCTCTAGACCGACATGTAAAGATATCACACAAAAGAAGCATCCCTCGATGGACAAGCCTCATAGTACCCTGGCGCCACCACAACCTATTTTCCATGCGATTTTCATCTAAAGAAAAACCTTATGATAATCTATTATGCCATGATGAATGGTCTTCACAAAATGCCTTGATAATGGAGGAGTTAACCATAACGACAAAAATGCTAAAAACTAGAACAAAGGTGACTACAGACACTAGTGTTGTCACTACAAGAAAATTGCCTTTACAATACTGTAGAGGTATTTTAAAAAATATCTAATAGGTGTCTTATGGTGAATTGTCTCTACAAACGAAGAGATATTTTATAAAATGCCTATAAGATGGTAGAGGCATTTTCTAGAAACATTAAATTGTACCACAAACATATGAAACCAGTCCAAAAAATAAGAATAAAATAGTTCCTTTGCGTTTTGTCATGCATTGAACTCATGGTCTCTTGGACGAATCATTTTTATCTTCAATGCACTAACCAACTCAAATCCATGTCATTAATTACTTGTATGTTTGTGCCCTTAGTTGCTTATATTTATTCATTTAGTACACATTATCATCCAAAAAGTGTCTCTACATAGTTTGAAATATCCCAAGAAAATGCCTTTACATATCAGGCGCATTTTACAGTGCCGAAAGAATGCCTCTACAAAATAGAATCTAATAAACTGAGCTGAAAATGTCTCCAGAGTAAAAGTTTTCTAGGCAATTTTTGAAGTGCCTCTATAAAGTGTCTCTATATGAGGTTTTTGTTGTACTGTGTGAGTATTTTTAGTGCATAAATAAATAATCTCAAGATAAATGTTTTAAGACATCAACATTTCTTATAACCATTTCGAAGGTTCAATCTCTTCGGTTAACAGATTTTCAATATATGATGCCGTTAGCTTTTTTACGTACATTCCTCTTACTAAAAATAATCTATGCAAATATAAAAAAAATTAAGTCATACTTTAAATAACTTGAATGATAAAATAAATCATAATTACATATTATATTTTTTAATAAGATGAATGATTAAGCATATGTCCAAATGTTAACTATTAAAAACCAAAGGAGCATTTTCATTGCACACTGATTTTTTTTCTTTTATAAGCATTATTACCCACAAACTAGCAAAATGCCCACACTTTGCTACGAGTAAAAGAAAATATTAATAATATATCATGAACTTGTTTGCTTATTTGAATACATAATATTCACTTGATTCAAACAAACATTATACTATTATATAATATCAAGAAACATCAGGAACTAATTTGCAAAAAGTATAAAAGTTGGCAAAACCACAATCACCAGTGTCTTTCATAATAGTATATTTCATAATAGTATATATATTGCATGGGCTGTCCAAATAGTTGACAATAGCAGCATTTCCCATGACGTTCTGCGCATGCTGATGCTGCTATCGTAACATTATTCACAAAAATACACCCCAAAAGAAAATCTCGATCCAAAGAGGCCATGTAAATGAGCCAACGCACCTTTAAGAGAGAGGCTATACCGGTATGGAGTAATCGAAGAATTGTGTCGTGATAAAAGCTAGTAATGCTTAATGGTAGTAAAAATGGGGTAATATTTTTTTCTTATCAGGCAGAAAAAAAAACATACACAATTTTTTTTAAAAAAAACCTTATTAGTGGCTGATGTACTACATAAATTTAGACATACACATTCCATCACACTATATATCATGTGTCTCCTCCAATTTTATTTTGTCTCAAGAAATGTCAATTGAATTAGAGACATCAAACTACTGAAACATGGGCTGGGAAAGTAGTGCATATATAATGTATTTGATGTGAACACAACTCTCAACGATACATAATGCTTTGGTGCCTTGGTGCTCGCCGAGCAGCGCCTACACGCGGTGCACTAACGTGTAGGGCCTGTCGGCATTGTCCAGCTGAACGGAACGTAATTGGGCTGTATATGGGCCAAGCTAGCCAAGTCCAAGCGAGGCCCAAGCAAGCAGAAGGGGCAGCATACAAAAGCAGCAGCAGCATTGTTGGAAGGCATCGAACAGAACACAGACATCGGCGGCTTCGGCCACGGGCGGCGGCGGCGTCCTGGTTCCGGGCTGGAACCTTGGCGATCTCTCTCCTCTACCTCTCTTCATACCTCTAGCTACCTCTCCTAGTTTTAGAAGCTTCTAGAACTTGTATTCCCTAGTTTTTTCTTTTCTTTTTCACCCCAAAACAATGGTTGCTTGTATGGTGGATCTTTGCTATTGAATTGGAGGAATTGGGTTCCTAACAGCTCGGCCAGGACCGCACCCCGACATAGAGCCGCGACCCCAGCAGAGAGCCGCATAGTTTCGTCAGCTTTTGGCCGAGGAACGGGCGAGGAGCCGTGTTGGAGAGATGCCTCACCCCAAGCCGCCACCCCACGTCGGGAAGAATGTGGAGAGGGAGTGGACTGGAGAGAAGGGCCGCGTCGATCCCGGCTGCCGCCACCGCTTCGATCTGCCACCGCCGCGTCGGTCCACTCCGCCGGGGAGGGGAGAGGAGAGGAGAGGCAGTGGGAGGAGAACTCGAGCTGGAGAGGCGTGAAGTGGAAGAGATGTGGGGAGGGGGATTGGGTTTCAATGGGAACTAGGGAGAAGAGGGTGGAGGAGAGATTTTATATTAATTTCTAGATTTTGAGGTGTTTAGTGTAAAATTTGAACTTCTATATAAATTGAAAAATTATGAGGACTAAATGGAAAAACACTAGAAGCTGAAATAAAAATGTAAGACTACCACTTAAAGTAACTAGCACTATAAGAAATTAGCTTTCTGGGAGTATTGTCCCATCCTACATGGTACTTGAGAGGGTACCCTGAGTTAGCCATGCCCTAATCATATATAGCCTGGATCAGTAGCCCAAGCTCTCTCTCTTTCTCTAAAATAAGAACGGATAAGATCTAATGGTCCTGATGGACTTGATTACGACGAGCCGCAGCTGCACATGGCCGCACCGCACGCAGTCGCACGCAACATTAACTGGACAGGCTAAGCTCTGTACTGACCAAAACCGGAGATTCCAGCAGCGTTACGGAAAGGCAACTGATTGTTGCTCTTCGGGATCGCGCAAAGCCCCAGGGTTTTAATTACTGTACATCGAAAGGGTTACAGCACCCCCGATGGTAATTCCAGTTAACACGGTAAAAAAATATTTAAATATTTAACTTTTTTATTTGAAATTGTTATTGAGCTTTTATTGTACCATAAGTAAGCCCGGTCATCATGGCAACCGACGGTAGGAGAAATCTGGTAGAATCTCCTGCGGAACTAATCTAGCACGAGATGTGAAAACTACTCTCGAACAGTAGTCCTTAATTATGAGTTCAGTAGTGCCTAACATGCTGGTTACAGCAAGATCAACCTTCCAGTTTAGGATGGTCACTCAAATGCAGGTTGCACCCCCTGCCTGATTATTAATGAATTTGTTTTCTGCAGGTCTGCAGATTACACATGCGGATGATCATCCTAAGCAAATAGAAGATCAGTCTCCCATCCCTGCCATGAAACATTCTCTCACTGGCACATGGAAAAAGATTGGTCTGGTTTTATTATTTATTAAGAGTTAGGTATTCCTTCTGTCCTTTAAAAAAAGTGAATATAGAATTGGGTATGATATATTCTAAGACAACAAATCTAGACAGATATATATCCAGATTCGTAACAATAGAATATATCATATTCGGTATTCGGTATTTGGTTGGTTTTCTATGGGATCCAGGGACTAAACCAGAATGGAGTAAGCATAATCCGAGGCAGACCACGAGACCCAGCGAGTCACGAGATCAAGGACCATCACGTGTCAGTAGTCATGCACTGGACAGGGAGAAAAGGACATGTACATGTGATCTACCAAACCAATTACGCCAACAGATGCTCCCCCTTCTGTTACTGCTGCACACCGTAAATAGAGCTCCTGCCAACCAAAATCCTGAAAAAAAAGGAAAAACAAATCCAGCAACATTCATTGTTATCATTTTTTCTCTGTCCCTATAATCTATTTTTATCATTTTTCCTAATGAGACATGCACTTACACATCACCCACGTACACTACCTACACACATGTAATCTACTGGTACGCTATTTTAACACACGTTCAAAGAGACGGAAGCTCGATGCTTTAAGCACACAACTACACAAGACACAATCTTAAGTGATACTCCAACGCTCGGCATTTGTCAGTAAACTACTTTTACCTACCTGATAATGGCAGCTAGGCACACTCCCTTCCATTCCCTTAGTTCTTCTCCTCTGATCATTTCAGCAAAAAAGACTCCATTGTTAACAATATCATCACTCATCCAAAACATCCACATTTCTCTCCCCTACCCTATCCTACCAACCTAATTAACTACTACCCCGTCCCAAAATATAGCAATTTTTAGTTATGAATCTGGACATTCATAAATAAAAATCTTATATTTTAGGACGGAGAGAGTACCCTTCCTCCACATCCAAGCACAGATCTCTCCCTACACTAATACCACACCATCACATCACATGCTTGTGTTGTGGCTGCATTAGCCACCATTGTTACTGATGTTCTCTACTGCCACTGCTATCCACCTGTGCACTCCATAGTTTGGCACAATTCATAAAGGCAGCAGCAGCAGCAGCAGCAGGAGCAGGATGCACTATCATCTTCTTCTTGTTGTTTTTCTTGCAAAAGGCGGGAAGGCAGAGGCAAAAGGGCGCTAAAAGTTGCGGCCTTTTCTTGCACCCACCTAGTCGCTGGCGTGCACATTATTAAGCTCTTCCACTTCGGCACATCCCCGGATCAATCGGCAACGGCGTTTCTCTTCATCTTCTTGCTCCGGCGTGGTCTGGTCGCCGGCGTTACTGACGGCGACGGTTTTTGAAGCTGCATTCAAGTAGGTGCGAGATCCTCGTCGCAGTTAATATAATCTCTTAAAATTCTCCATGCGTTTCTTGCAGATTCTGCTACATATAGTAGGTGTGAAGCCGTACTTGCCGGGTTTCTTGCAGGGATAGGATGGCGCCAGCGATGGCTCTGAGGTTGCTGGTGGTGGTGGCGGTGGCGGCGGTGGTGTCCTGCGCCGTCGCCGCCGATGAGGGGAGCGTCGTCGAGGTGTGGCCAATGCCGGCGACGGCGAGCAAAGGCGGGCAGACGCTGCACGTCAGCAGGGAGCTCAGGATGACGGCGGAGGGGAGCAAGTACGCCGACGGGGAGGCCATCCTGAAGGACGCGTTCCAGAGGATGGTGACGCTGATAGAGCTGGACCACGTCATCAATGGCAGCTCCCAGGGCTTGCCGCTGCTCGCCGGTGTGAATGTCGTCGTGCATTTGCCCGGCGATGAGGTAAAGCCTTGTGAACTTGTGGTGTTCTCCTTTTTTCTTACCTTCTTGTGACCTGTATTTGGTTGATTTTGTCCTCTGCAGCTCAACTTCGGGGTGGATGAATCATACAATTTGTCAGTGCCTGCAACTGGAAGTCCAATTTATGCTCAAATTGAGGTTAGTGATAAAAAAAATATATGCTCTGCTAACTGTGCTGTCAACATGAAAGGTTGGCAGAATATGACATCAGATGCCGACACTTTAACTGCAGACATTCTTCCTTTGAGAATTCACGGAAAATAATGAAATCGTGTTGCTTAGTTCTAGGAATTGTGACACTTTTTTTTTTTTGCTGTCACCTCACTATGTCTTTATTGCAGGCCCAAACAGTTTTTGGAGCACTTCATGCCTTGGAGGTAACTTGGCATGGTTTATCCACTCAATGCATCTGGATGATCATAGATAAAAAAGACAACACGATCACTTTCAGACAATCTAACAGTGTACCTTCTATCGTTGCAGACGTTTAGCCAATTGTGTAACTTTGATTTCACCTCAAGGTTAATTGAACTTCAGTCTGCCCCTTGGAGCATCACGGACATGCCCAGATTTCCTTATCGAGGGCTTCTTATTGGTGAGATATATTCTAAATATTGGATTGGTTTTGTCAACAACAGTTGTATCAAGGCCTTTAGGGTATTGTAATAAATATACTTGACTGTAACAGTAGCATCCAGATAGTTAATGTTGCTCACCCCCATAAGTAAAATTGTAAAAGTAACATACTCACAATCTACTGACCATATCATAAGCCTGAAACTAGAAATGAAAGCTAGCATTGATCCATGGGAGAAATAGTACCTTGTAACCTTCCTCCGTTGAACTCCTTTATCTTGTATTTGCTCTTGTACATATTGCCGTGAATTGTCCTTTTTTTCAGAACTTCTAGCAGGGACCATCCCTATTGTTCCATTAATATAAACCCTTACAGCTATCAGAAGTTTTGAACCAAAATATATTCCATTTCTTCATAATCTCTTTTCCATTTGTTCACAAGTCTTTTTTCTTTTTTGGTGTTGTTAACCACCATCATGAATAATTCTAAGATGGATGCTCATACTTACTCCACATGTTCCATACTAGGCTTATATGAAGAATCAGTAAATATTGTGCATGTAAAAATAGCGTCTGATATCTCTTTCTTTTAAAGGATTTATCTGATACATCTACTATTGTCCTCAAATAGTTTGAGGAAAGATAATACCTGATCTTTTTTCAACTCAATGCACTGGCATCCTACAGATACTTCAAGGCATTACCTTCCTGTCCCAGTAATAAAAAGCGTAATCGATTCGATGACCTACAGCAAGTTGGTAGGTTTGATCTTTTCACAAGAAACCAGTTCTTCAATCTTGATTGATAATTCTCTCCATTGCAATGGTCCTTCTCCAGATATTCCTTTAGTTTTAGTTGCATCATATAATCTGCTTACTCTATCATCATGCAGAATGTTCTTCATTGGCATATCGTGGATGAACAGTCATTTCCTATAGAAATACCTTCATACCCAAAATTATGGAATGGTGCATACTCTTACTCAGAGAGATATACAATGGATGATGCTATCGACATTGTTCAGTGAGTTTTTCTGTCTTTCATTTTTCATGTGAAAGAGCAGAATTTAGCAAATATCACTCTAAGGTTATGGCTGGACATAAGAATTTATTTACCTTCACTATGAAGTAACAGGAGCTAAGAGCATGCAGTAAAACCACGTTAAGTAATTTATATAAATATTGCAAAGGGAACTCAGCAGAAAATAAAAAACAAAACTCTAAAACCCATTCCTTCTTTGGAGAATGATGTGATCAATTTAGAGATCAGTTAGCTATGCTGTTGGATTTAACCAAGGTAAGATAACTTATCAATAATCTGCAGGTATGCTGAACGACGAGGTGTCAATGTCTTAGCTGAGATTGATGTTCCTGGCCATGCTCTCTCATGGTAAGTATTTAATATGCCAATGCTGTTCTTCTCTAGCATATGCTCCATGACTATTCAGGTTTTACTGATGAAAACCTGAATCCTTTGTTTTTGTTGTACTCATGGTATACCTTTTAAATCCAGAAAGCACAGTGCCTTACGGATGAAGTTATTTAACTAGATATGACAGTAGGAATATCAAAAGGTTGCAAATAAATTGCGCATTTCTTTTTGTTTTAGGGGTGTTGGTTATCCGTCGTTGTGGCCATCAGCTACTTGTAAAGAACCACTTGATGTCAGCAGCGAATCTACATTCCAAGTGATTAATGGAATTCTTTCAGGTAATTCACGGTTTACCAACAGAAATCACGTTATATTTTGAGTGGTACTTTTATTACTTTGAAAGAGAAAAAAACAGCCATTTATCTTATACTTACCAACAAAAGGAAAAAAAAAAGCAGTTCAACGAACCGAATAATGAATATATTGTGAAAAACAAATTGATGATCTTGTATAATATTCACTAATAACTTTTGATGCTCTTTCAGATTTCAGCAAGGTTTTTAAGTTCAAGTTTGTCCATTTGGGAGGTGATGAGGTCAATACAAGTAAGTCTGCAAAAGTATCTCCCCTGCAGAGCAGCAGATCTCATATCATATAGTAGTTTAGTAATCTAATAATTACTCACTATGAATTTCAGGTTGCTGGACTTCCACACCACGCGTTAAAGCATGGTATGCTCTTATCTAGAACTAGTATAAAGAATAAGAGCAACAGCATACTTGATATGCACTTATTGACAATATTTTCTCTTTATTGTAGCAAAATACCCGAGCCTTGGAACAGATTAAAAAAATAAGAACTAAACATGAAAATTATATATGTTTCTGAGGCCAAAACATTTTGCAACCAAGCATCAACCCATAAATAACCATGACATATGCATTATCATCTATTTTTCTACCTGCAGAAGATCCCACCAATTGTAGATGTGTTGGTGATGGCCGACTCACCACCATCACCAGGTCCTTCTGTAGCAGGGATGATCAGTCATTTGATCTAATCTGAAGTATTTTTCCTGGTGTGCAGGTTGGCCCAACATGGTATGAAAGAATCTGATGCCTACAGATATTTTGTATTGAGAGCTCAAAAGATAGCAAAATCACATGGCTACGAAGTTATTAACTGGTATGTGACTTGGTTTTGCAGATCTAGATCTTTCAAATAGCTATTGATACACTTTCTTGTCCTTGTAGGGAAGAAACCTTTAACAACTTTGGAGACAAACTAGACCGCAGAACTGTGGTGCATAACTGGTATTTCCTAACTGCCTCTTGATTGTCATTATATAAAAAATTATCAGCATCCTTGTTAGGAAAAGAAAATAAAACAAAGTTGTATGCTCTTGCCAAATTATATTGTCATGCCTATTATAAGAAACAATGACCACATTTGCCAAATCTCAAATATAGCACATTCTCATTTGAAGAAGGCAAAGATCACCAAGCTGGAATATGTCATTAGATATTTCTAATATTGGTCCTGCGACCATATGTTATGCTTACATTGGATGGTATTTGTCAATTTATACATCATTGTGATGGCACTAAATTTCTCTTTGAACAAATTAGTTTGCATAGTTTGTTTACACGTCAGTAAATGCCCATTCATAGAGAACAACTTATGGTAGTATCTGTATTTTGCAATGTCCAACAAGTAATATAAAACTAGAGGAATGTTGTTTAAACAAGGAAATTTATTGAAGTAATGGGATTGCAAACCTTTATTAAGAAAAGGTGAAAGGATTGCAAGAAAAGTTTCAATACCATTATATAGTGCAGTTTCTTCTCCTAATTAGGAGGACCCAGCCAGAAATCATCTGTTTGTGCAGCTATTGGAAATTAACAGCTAGTATTTTTCACCACAAATTATAACAGGCTTGGAGGTGGAGTTGCAGAGAAAGTTGTTGCTGCTGGTTTGAGATGCATTGTGAGCAACCAGGATAAGTGGTACCTAGATCACTTGGAAGTTACATGGGATGGATTTTATATGAATGAACCACTGAGAAATATCAAGAACCCGGCACAGCAGAAGTTGGTTCTTGGTGGTGAGGTATGCATGTGGGCTGAACACATAGATGCGTCTGACATTCAGCAAACCATTTGGCCACGTGCTGCAGCAGCTGCAGGTATAATCAGATACATGACTTCTCACTCTTATATACTCGATTAGCTAGAATTCGTAAACTTTTATCCCAAAATAACAGAAAAGTTTTTCTTATCTCACCAAAACTCACTTGTTAATTTGAAGAGCGGTTGTGGACTCCGTTTGAGAAGCTTTCAAAGGAGTGGGAAATAGCAGCGCTCAGCGCAAGACTGGCACGCTTCAGGTGCTTGCTGAATCATAGAGGGATCGCTGCTGGACCGGTAACTGGTTATGGACGTTCCGCGCCAGCAGAGCCAAGCTCCTGTATAAAGCAGTAGGATATCCAAAGCAGATAAATATTATTATTATTATTATTCATATTGGACTGAAAATCATTTCAGACACCCATTTAACCGCTGTAAGCAGAAGCAGTCAAAGGAAAAGGCTGGGGCCAATGTAACTGAACTCTGAGTTACAAGAGAGTGTTTCAATAATATTGCATTCTCATTTTCATGTAGTAATTGTATCCCTGTGAGATATGCTATCCTGTTTTACCCTTGGTGTAGAATTGGCATGTGCAAAGATTTTGTCCCATTCCATAAACAAAACCAAACATGTTAGCAACTTAGCATACTGTTGCAGTTCAGATACTGATAATTTCTCCTGCACATGAATATACCTATCTGTTACTTCAGAATTTAAGAGTAAACTCTTGGAATTGGTAACCAATGGTCTTGTATTCCACTATGGGTGCTGTAATTCTATTAGAATTGCTAGCTAAAAAATCTACATGGTTTAACGCTAATCAATAATAAATATCCCATATCTTATGTTCTATTTTCATCCATTTTTATTTTTACCTTTTTCTTTAACAAAGTTATGGCTACCTGTCTTACAATAGAGACCAGAGATATAATCCATTTTCATTATCCAAAAAAAACTCAAGAGTAAACATTCAGAATATGTTCAGGGAGAGGACTGCAAGGAGCAAACCTACAAAAGCTACTCCTAAATCAGAGATGTGGGAAAACCGATGAAGAAGTGAAGGCTAATGAGGAGGCTTAAAACGAGAGATAAACCTGCTGGTCTGGAACACTGCTAGCTGGCGGAGGTACGAGGCTGGCCTCTCCACGGTGGCCGCCGGCGATGCCTCCACCACGCCGCCAGCGGCCAGCCGGCTCACGCATTTGCGCCCGTGTAGCATACCTGCGGAGACAGGCGAGGAAGATAGAGCGCGGAATCAGTTACATGACCACCTAGGTGGCCGGCGAGATCGGCGGCGACGGCGAGGTCGGGCGGCGGCGGGAAGGCGTCGACGGCGGCAAGGGGTTTTTGCCGTGATTAGTATGGGGAGGGGCTTAAACGGTAAATACAGGTTAAAGCAGGGGCTCTTCCGTAAAATTATAGCTCGATCCGCATCACGAGATGTTATGATCCGACGGTCCATGTGGACCCGTAGACCCAACCTGGGCCGCACAAGTACGGGTTTGGGTAGGCCTTAGCCCACAGAGGTTTTTGGGCCGCCGAATTCGTACCCACAAAGGCCACAATAAGGAGCAGGGCCCAGTTTGTGGGCCACCATGCGCGCCCACAAGCATAATCTCCATCAAAAATCGGATTAGCCCTGTTTCTTTCAACTTGGATTATTATAATATAAGATTATTGAGTCAGATTACTATAAACTAGATTGTTATAATCTGTAGTAGAATAAGCGGTTAGTTGTTTCTTTCGCGGTTAGTTATTTCTTTCCTAGATTATTAGAGCCTAGATTATTGGGTTTGCAAGTCTAAATAGGGAGTGGGGTGGCATGGTGGGTAATTTTTCACCCAATAATCTAGAAAAAGCTCACCTAAATAAGCTTATCAGATTATAATAAGTTGGGCTACAGATTATAATAAGCTACTTCAATAAGTTGTCTGTTTCTTTCAGCTTACTCCCAATAATCTGGATTATAATAATCCCAAACTAAAAGAAACATGCCTTACAGGACGACCAATGTATGTTATGTCAGGTCGAGATCGATAATTCGATTTTCCATCTCCATCAATTGAAGCATCACCATGTGTATGTGACGTAAAATCAAAGCAGAAGATAACGTCAGAAGGTAACTGAACTGTAATCTCTAAATTCACTCATACGTCCAGATCTTAGACGCCACCATTACAATCAGAGCTGATCCAACGCTAAAGATACCCACCATTACGGAACTTCCAATACGACACGTCTTTAAGGCCATCCCCAACTCATCTAGTAGTTTCCATACTTGTCATTTCATATAGATATCATGTGTAGAAACTATGTTTTTAATGGATGGTGTCTTCAAATTAAATTCTCATCCAATCCCCTCTCTTCTCTCTCCTTTTATCCACCTATCCCCTTAATTTTATTCTTGGTTCTTGTGTAGAAATGGTTTCTTGCATGAGAAATTGTTTCTTCATCTTTTTACCTCTCTCATCATTAACTCTCTTGCCACATAGAATTTTTTTTTATGTGTCAATGTATTTAGTGCTATGGAAACTATATGACATGGAGGGTTGGGATGGCCTAAGAAGATCACATCTACAATATCGTCATCAATACTCCAAACATCCGTACCAGGTTTTGACCCGGAGACTATCCCAAGGCACGAAGGAGAGGGATGAGGCGTCAGTGACATCGCATCTAGGAAGGTGTATGGCGTCGACAAGCATCGCCGATGTCGGCGTTTGTAGCGTTGATAGCCCTGGCCCCAGATTTGCGGTGATTTGAACTCGACCTTCTCCTTAGCATCGAATGGCATCTGCGGCAGACAATAAATATTTGATGTTCAGAGACCGAGCGCTTGCTCAGGTGGCAAGCGTCGCTGGTGGGCACGCAGCCCGCGAGCGTTCAAACCCCAGGTTCGACACTCGTGCTCGCCCGGGGGGATTTTCCCCTCTTTCCCCGGGACTGACTTCGGTTGGTCCTGGCTAGGTAATAGGGTACACACACGCGTGCGCGTTCAGTGGGATTGCACGTTTCCCGTGCACTGAGGTCTAGTGCCTCCAATTTCATTCCTAGCGTGTGTTAGGGACGCGTAAAAGGTGATAAAAACTTTTAAAACTTTGATCATCAATAATTCTCAAATACTTACTTGAAATGCTATATATAACTTTTTCCATGAAAAGCACTATCATACCATCTTAAAGTTATTAGATTTTATAAAATTGTAATTTATACATTTATTCTAAATATACAGAAATTAATAATCAAATTCCCAAAATTGTATCAAATATTGTCTAGAACATCAAATATTTGTTTTGATTAGAATAGAATGACAAATATTTATCACTGCTAGGAGTACCATACTTTTTCATAAGACATGTTGTGTGTAGTCATAAGACATGATAGGAGTATATTATAATGAATATGTACTTTTGTAATAGTTTGATATAGTTTCACAAAATTTTGTCAAAAAGTAATAGTGACCATAACTAATCCATTAGCAGGACACGTTGACTTCTTGGCGTCTCGATCTGGTTTCCGTATTTTCCGCATCTACCGCACACTAATCAATCACGCAAGAATATTATAGGAGGTGGTGGCTTTTATACGACCATTTCCAATGTGGTGCACACCTGCACGGCTACACCCAAGGCAGCCAGCAGGTTATAGTTGGAGACCTTGTTTTGCAGCACGGTTGCAAACGCTGCCTGTATATGATTAGAAAAAGACAATTGTCAATTCTGAAAATCGGTAAGAGAAAAATGTAGCGCACAAGACCGAAATTAGACGGATGCAGGATTACAAAGAGAAAAACCTAATCGGACATAAGACTTTCTAACATTGCGCATATATATATATATATATATATATATATATATATATATATATATATATAGATCTAGACACTATGTGAATATGGATAATGCTAGAAAGTTTTATAACCTGAAACGAAGGTAATAAGACCCTAATTCTGTTTGGGGATTGTATCCACGGGAATTGTATTGATCTGATGATCTAATCGTGACTTATCTCGCCATTTGTCTTTGGAGGGCTTCCTGCCAATCTTATATAGGTTGGGGGGCAGGATTACAAAGAGGAAAACCTAATCGGACTTGACATCAGTTTTCCAATCTATCACATGATAATACTCGATCGATATTATAGGTCCTGTCATATAACACAAGGCAACATTACGATCAAGTCATACTCTTCTATTACATATACTCTTCTATTACATAGTACATGGATCTGACATACCTCCTATATCTAGTCGAACATGAAGGCCGTGTGAATACCCGGTACCCATATTTTCCACGGTAATGATCAAATATGCGCATTACATATATATCAAATATGTTGTTGATTTCTATGCAACTTTTGAAACTCCAACCATAAAAGAATTCTAAAATACTTAATTTGAAAACTTAAAATTGGTATGCATATTCTTGTCTTGAATTACTTTCGTAACCTCATAAACTTATTGTATATAAAAAGTATGGTCGTCAGAGTTACATCCCCGAAGACCGAAAAAATAGCAAACGACATATTTGTGACATGAGCAGCGAGGCTATACCCACCTAAATTGTCCATATTGGCATATTTTCTAATTCAATCAGTTGGACATATATATTTTGATTATCCTTCGGCGACTAGCTAACTCTAAATGGAACTGGTTCTGTTTTTTCACCTAAGCGTATGTCTACTCTCTTGTTTGTTATCTCAAATACTATTTAAATAGTTATAAAAAATCTTTAAAAAAGGGACAATATTGGTACATTATTTATCTATCATCTTGCAAAAAATCAACTTCAAATTTGATAAGAAAACAAATTACACCCTGAGTAGTATAAGTACTATTCAGTCAGATTTGATTTTTTTTTCAACTTGTTGAGGTCAAATTTAAACTTGTATGTTAGTGTAGTGATATCTCACATAATTATCTACGTTATCAAATTTTTCCAGAAGTTTCATAACCATAAACAAAACATGATTTCCCAATTCTAAATTGATCAATAGTCAATCATACAATGTACTACACAGTAGCAGGTTAGCAGCCTGTATTATTTATGTGGGCATGTGTCACGCAAGCTAATACTTATACTAGTAGGCTATTACAAGAGATTGACAATTCACTTCATCTTTGATTAGATGCTTCCTGAAGGTGCTGTTTCCATCACTGCAGATTATATAGTTCAGAGGAGGCTATTTCTGCTAGCTTACATGAAGACCACAGTTCTGCCAGGTTGAAGAATAGCTTTGTATTCAGTTCAGGTATGCTCTGTTCTCAATTTCGCTAATTAGATGACCCGATTCTTTGGTTATTAGCTGTCGAACTTTATACTGGAGTGTTCATCATTCTGCATCCATTAAGCCGTGGATTTTGGTCAGATTACACCTAGTTTTCGATTTGAATGCAGCATGGTTTTTATCCCATGAATTATTTACAAGATGAACAGAAATTTGTCATATGGATTAGATTCTCATTTTCTTCTGCGAAAAGAGCCAATTGATGCTCTCTCTCTCTCTCTTTCTTGTGCCTGCTTACTAAGCTTCCCATCATCGCACATGCACAATTGGTTGGAAACTACACTTAAATCCAAGATGAGAGTTCAGAGTCATTTTCATCTTCTTGTCGCATTTCCAGGCTACTTAATTGTCTCCATGTTTTACCTTCAGGCTACAACAAACATGGAGTTAACTAGTAGCAGTGCCATGTGGCTTGCCATGGCCATTCTTGCCATCACTGCAGCTCTCACCAAGATTGCATTAGGAGGAGGAAGAAGAAGATGCCTATCTGAATCCTCTGATCTTACCTGCAAAACGCCACCTCCTCCACCCGTTGTGAATTGCATCGCTCTCCTAGGGCTCCTGCCTGCTCTCTTCAGAGGCGATGTGCCAGCCACGATGCAGCAGCTGTACGCGAAGTTTGGCAGCGTGTTCACCGTAAGCGTGGCCGGATTGCTGAAGGCGACGTTCTTGGTCGGACCGGAGGTCTCGGCTCATTTCTTCCAAGGGTTGGAATCGGAGGTCAGCCATGGCGACCTGTTCGAGTTCACGGTGCCTATGTTCGGCAAAGAGGTCGGCCATGGCGTAGACAACGCCACCCGGATCGAGCAGGGTCGATTCTTTGCTGAGGCACTGAAGCCGGTCAGGTTGAGGATCCATGTTGATCCCATGGTTCAAGAGGTTGAGGTAAGCAACAGTGTAATTGTAATTAGCAAGTGTTATGATTATGTTTGCCTCCAAATTTAAGATAAATCTGATCTATTGTGTTACTTTCGTATGCCCAAAATCTATTATATTCCAAAGTTGGTCAAAGTCAGGTTGGGTTAGTTGCACGGATTCTAGAACGACACTTACTTGTGAGTTAGTTGGAGGTGTAAGTTTCTAATTTTATAAGATCTGAAGATTAGCTTACACATGATCACTTTAATTATAATGCGGAGTTGGAGAGTTCTGCCAAATAGGTCTTAAGTGATTTTTTTTATGCGCGGTAACTCCGACCCCGACAGTTTGGGAAACCTGACTACAGTTGGATGACACTTTTGAGATGATTAATTAGATCAAGATTTGTACATACGGCACCCAGTCATTACAAGCTTCAGTAACTTACAATTTGGCATCACCTACATGTTCTGCAGGACTACTTTGCGAAATGGGGGCAACACGGCACGGTCGATCTGAAACATGAACTGGAGCAACTACTACTGTTGATCTCAGGCCGATGCCTCCTCGGCAAGGAGGTGATGGGGACGAAGTTCGACGAGGTCTGCAACCTGTTCCGCGATATCGAGGGTGGCGTGAACCTGATGAGCGTCTTCTTCCCCTACACCCCACTCATCCCTTCCAACCGCCGCCGCGACATGGCGCGCGAGAGACTCCACGCCATCTTCTCCGACATCGTGAGATCCCGCAAGCAGCAGCAGGGAGATCAGGAGGAGGTCAATGACAAGGACGTGCTCCAGAGCTTTATCGATTCCAGGTCAGGGTTTTAAATCTCCCTCTATAACTACCACTATCTCTCGCTATAGCTGTTTGAGAAGGGTTCTATCTATTTGCTCTCATGTACTCCCTCCGGTTTATATTATAAGACTTTCTAGCATTGTCATGTCTAGATTCATTAATATATATATGAATATGGGCAATGCTAGAAAGTCTTATAATATGAAATGGAGGAAGTACAAATTAGCCGCTATAGCTCCATTTAGCCTACTATAGTTGCCGCTATAGCTGTTTGAGAAACTAACTGCTAAATGCCTTAAACCACTATTTAAAACATTGTTCCAGGTACAAGGCCGATGGTCGCGCCACGACAGAGGCGGAGGTCGCTGGCCTCATCACCGGCGTTCTCTTCGCCGCGAAGCACACGAGCACCCATACCAGCGTCTGGACCGGCGCTCGCCTGCTCACCCACGAGAAGTTCCTGGCCGCGGCCGTCGACGAGCAGGATCAGATCGTCAGAAAACACGGCATCATCAATGGCAGAATCGTCACAGATCACTATGGTTTCCTGATGGAGATGCACATGCTGCACATCTGCATCAAGGAGACGCTCCGGCTGCACCCTCCGGCGCCGATGATCGTCAGGACAGCCCTCAGGCAGTTCACCGTCCGGACGAGAGAAGGCCATGAATACTGTGTCCCGGCAGGGCACACCATGGCTAGCCCTATAGTGATCAGCAACCGTGTGCCTTACATCTACAAGGATGCTCACCTGTATGATCCAGACAGGTTTGGTCCTAGAAGAGAGGAGGACAAGGTCGGCGGGAAATTCTCTTACACATCTTTCGGCGGTGGAAGGAACAGCTGCGTCGGCGAGAACTATGCTTACATGCAGATTAAGGCGATCTGGAGCCATTTGCTGAGAAACTTTGAGCTCAAATTGTTGTCTCCATTTCCTAAGACGGACTGGAGTAAGCTTGTGCCTGAGCCCCAAGGGAAAGTGATGGTAAGTTACAAGAGAAGGCAATTGCTTCCTACCTCTTAACCGATAAGGTGAAGTTATGTACTTACTAGATACGGTGAAGTTATGTACTATTAATATATATAGAAAGTATAGATATGTGCCAATATGTATGTTAGGAAAAGAAAAGGAAATATAACTCAGAGGAGCTGGCTAGATATACTCTTCTAAAAGAAGGCAATGGTGGTGGTAGTGAATCTGCTAGACTGCCACACCACCAAGTCTATGTTATATTTTCTTACCATCTAATCCTTATGTACTTTTATATTACAAGATAGTCATTCTACACATTGTGGCTATCTATTTCATCCCTAAAATCAAGTTTATCTACAGGGACGAGTGCATGCATATAATTCAAATTAATTCATAGCAAAGCACAGACATTTAAATTTCAAAGAAACACACTGAGTTCGTGTTTCGAACCAAGGGAAGCGGCCTGAACCAAACATGTGGACAAAAGCAGTCGGCATGTCTGCATTTGCGATTGTAAATTGTACATGTGGAGAAAAAAAAAGCGTGGATGAGGAAAGGGGAGTGCCCAAGCTTCTGTACAAAGCAGTAGATTATTGAAAGCAGTTAAATATTAAAGAACTTTTACGGTACAATATACTACCAGTATATACTAGCAGTATATAGAAGGGTATGTTAAGAATTTGATAGAAAATAAAACAACACTTTAGTAATTTTTGTTTTAGATTGAATCTAATTAGGAGTACCCGGTTCTGGATCTTATCATGCGCTAGGGGAGGAGCATCCTGAGCGCTATTTGATGACGAAGCACGTGACGATAGCACGATTTGATGATAGAATAACAAAGAAAAGACAAAATTACCCTTTCAAACTTTATACTGTAATCTAATTAACTAAAAAAACCAAATCAATCTACACTGTTAGATCATATATACTAGCAGTATATTGTACTGTAAAAGTCCTCAAATATTATTCATATTGGACCGAGAATCATTTCAGACATCCATTTAACTGCTGTGAGGAGCAGTCAAAGGAAAAGGCTGTGATCAATGTAACTCAGCAATTCTCTGTTCAAAGAAAGTGTTTCAACAACATTTATTGTCATTTTCATGTGGTAGTTTTATCCTTTATGAGATTTGTTTCCTGTGTTTTAGTCTTGGCACAAGAGTCATGTGTAAGATTTGGGGCATGCTTGATTCAGCTTAATAATTAGAGTGAGCTACTATCTCAATTTTTTTTAGCACACTATTAGTTTCCCGAGCTGTTAAACAGTGCTTTCTTTTTTAAAGTAAAAAAATACTTACAAAATAAATCCATTTTCAATTTTATAATAATTAATACTCAATTCATTATTCATCGTTTGGACAACGTATTAATTAATGGTCGGAATTCATGGAGGATCTGCTTGAATGAAGGTTGTGCTGGCCGTGATGTTCATCTCCGGTTATCTAGTAGCGACCGCGTTAGTCTTCATCCTTGTCTCCAACGATGGTTCTTCAAGGTATGGCTGAAGTTTTCACAATTGGTCAAGGCTTCCTCAACCTCCAATCTAGGGAGGCCCCTTTCGGGTTTGTGCCTGGGCATCATCTTCTACAGCCATCCTCGGTTCCGTCGTCCACATCATAGCTGCGTTTATCGATCAGACTACCTGTGCAGCTAAAGTAATACTAGGCAATAAGACATCTATGGTGACTTCGTCAATCTCAAGATATGACGGTCCAGTCTCTTGGAGATACTCATAGCGCTAGGATGTGGGTAGAGGTGGTAATGAGTCAAGACCAATGAGTTTTTTCATAACCAACCTATCCATCAAATATTCTTAGGCTAAAAATATATAGAAATTAAGTCCATCACATATTAAACCCAGCCCTCATAGACTAAAATTAGGCCCATTACCACCTGTAGGTGTGTGGTCCTAAAGGTAAATGTGTACGTGTGTTTGTGCTTACCTATATTTTGTACCGTGTTTCTAACAAAAATGTGTAACCTTTAAAACAAGATTTGATCAAACTCAAAATGCTCACATAAGAAACAAGAATGCATAAAAATTGCCTTGAAAAAATATTGCAATATAATAATACCTCAGATTTTATAAACTTATTTTAAATATAAAATTGTCGGTTCACAAAGTTTTATGTTAAACAAAAAAATTTATGACCGGTGAGAATTTTTTCTTTAATTTGTCGTAAGATCCACCTCGATAGTTCTTTGTCGAAAAGACTAACGGGCGATCGATCGCCCCTAGCGATCACCTTCCTTCCTCCACGCGGTTTCCTTTTTTACACCGCATTACTTTCCTATTTTAGTAAATTTATGCACCTAAAGTTTGTACACCTCAAGTTTACACATCTAAAGTTTAGAGACCCAAAATTTATAAATCAAAAGTTTATATATCCGATTAAAATTTAAATTTGAATTTAAATATTTTTTATATATAGTATTTCTATACATCTAAAGTTTATACACCTAAAGTTTATAGACTTAGAGTTTATAAGTTAAAAGTTTACATACCCGTTTCAAATTTGAATTTGAATTCAAATATTAGTTTATAGACTCAAAGTTTATAAGTCAAAAGTTTACATATCCATTTCAAATTTGAATTTGAATTCAAATATTTTATGTATATAGTATTTCTATACATAAAATTTTCCAACTTTATTTTTTCTATTTTTTAAAAATTTATGGTGTAGTAGGAAGAGAAGAAGGGGGGGAGGAAGGGGGATAGGAGCGTATAGGGGGATGGGGGTGATCACTATGGGCGATCACCCGCCCATTAGCCACACCCGTTCTTTGTGGTCATAAATGAGTACCAAATACGGTAATGTAGATTTTCACCAACTAGGGATGGATGTTCACAAATAGACTTCAATAATTGTTTTCTTCTTGTGTGTTGGCTTTATTATTTCAGTTCTTATTGTTGTCTAAGTGTTTGCTCTATTTGAGAGAATTTTATAATAAGTGATTGTAGCTTCTTTTAAGCAATGGCCAGAATTTTTATTCCATTATATTAAAAAAAATAAATGAGCACCAAATACACTCTAGGAAAAAACGGTGATCATAACGAATCCATACAGGGCACGTTGACTACCTTAGCGTCCCGATCTGGTTTTCCCGTATTTCTAAATATATCTTACACCAATCAGACTGAAAGGCACCGATAGCAGCTACCGATTAGAAAAGCCTTTCCGTGCGGAATGCAGCAAAATTAAACGTTGTACCACATCCGTTCTCAAGTATTTATTATAGGATTTGTACAAAATATATAAGTATTTCAGACACTGATCTCAATGCACGAAAATTCAAGCATTTTCAGGCAATCAGATACATAGGACTGGAATCCAACGATTTAGAATTTAGCTAACAAAATAAGTGAAACAAATCATTTCCCTTAACCTTAATCTTGCTTAAATAAACTAGAAAGTACTCCCTCCGTACTCATAAAGGAAGTTGTTTAGGACATCGACACGGTCTCTAAAACACAACTTTTAACTTCTTGTTTCTATAAAAATATTTATTGAAAAGTGATATATGTATATTTTTATGAAAGTATTTTTCAAAACAAATCTATTCATATAATTTTTACATTTTCAAACTCAACAACTTGAGAGTTATTCATGATTTATATTCCCAAGGTTTGACTTAAACATTGTCCTAAACGACTTCCTTTATGAGTACGGAGGGAGTATGTAAACAATTAAATATGAGATGCATGATTATGATCGGTTGAAATGAATAAATAGATGAAAAAAGAACTACTATGACAAATTTTAAATGTTATAAGTTGCTACCACCTATATCACAAAATATAACATATTTTGTCCATAAAGTCAAATGCACAAAATCCCTTACATTTTATGAAAGAAAAATAACATATTTTAAGATAGAGGGAGTATTTAGATTTTTTTTATCAAACTTTTAGAACTCTAACCATCAATGAATTCTAAATACTTAGATTAATTTTTTTTAAAAAATATGTGTATATTTATCTTTAAAAAATCCATTCATAATCTCTTAAAATAATTAATTAGTTTTTATAAACTTATTCCGATAAAAGTTCACGATCAAAGTCACACCTGAGAATTAAAGGAGTGAAGTGTATGAGCGGTCCAGCCGGTCACAGGCGTATCATCTACGTCCCTAAACGTTCAAAATATATTTTCGGGTCTCTAAACTTTGTCTTGAGTTCCATGCAAATCCAAACGGGCAAAAACTCCCTTCTTCGCTAATGTGGAATATCACGAAAATGCTTTGCATCTACCGTCTGATGGAGCAAAAAATATCGGACGGAACAGAAACGAAAGGTGGGGCCCACTATTGATTCGACCCGTCATTCCCACAACCTTATCCTCTCATTTCTCGTAACCATCAGAGAGAGAGAGAGAGAGAGACACCGGAGCATGTCGCCAGCGACCACCGAGACGGGAAGAGGGAGGAGGTCGCCGGCGACATGCTGGTGGTGGCGGGCAGCGCGACGCTAAGAGGGAGGAGGACGCCGCCGACCATGCTGGCGGTGGTGGGGCAACGCGAAGCGGTGAGGGGGGAGGATGCCGACGACCTTGCTGGTGACTATGGATCAGGCTGACGCGAAAGGGAGGACAAGATGAGGCGCTAGACCTTTGCCACCGGCAAAGCAGCTGTGAGCTCACGACGCGAAGGTGGCGTTGGACCGGATGCCGATATGACTGGCCCTGGTGAGGTCGCCCTCCTGATATCGTTGTTTGCCCTTGTTGTCATCTACACCTTCACCTCACCTCGCTTGTCTCCCTATGTCGTTCGCTTTATTTCGGTGACCGGAATAGAAGAAGACAAAGGTGGGCTTTGTTGCGAATTTTAGTGATGTTGTAGCTTATTTGTATTTTTGTTGCACTCTGATCTAGACCTTAGGTCATGTTCTTTTCTCCAACAAGAGTTGGATGAATATTAAGATTTTTGTGGCACGTTTTTCAAACTGTTAAACGCGATACATTTCGTGCGAAAACTTTCTATATCAAAGTTGCTCTAAAATATCATATTAATCTATTTTTTAAGTTTGTAATAATTAAAACTCAATCAATCTTACGTTAATATCACCTCGTTTTGCGTAAAAAACTCAATCTTCATATTCATTTTTATCTTCAGGAGAAAAGAACACCACCTTTGTTTCATTCTATTTTGATTCAATGTTGCACACATTGGTTTTTTGTGTTGCAATCAGTATGTTCCACTATTGATTTGGTTGAAACAATTTTGCTCAAGAATTGAAACAATTTTGCACAAGCACTGAAACATTTTTTCTCTGCTAGTGAAACATCTGGAACATTTTCATTAAAGCAATTTTTATCAAGAGATGAAACATGTG